AGAGCTGGGAGACAGTGAGTGTGTGTGTGTGTGTGTGTGTGTGTGTGTGTGTGTGTGTGTGTGTGTGTGTCCACACGTGATATATACACTATATACACACATATGTGTGGGTATGCATGTATGTGTGTGGGCATGTGTGGAGGCCAAAGGTCAACATCAGCTGTGGTCCCTCCATCATCTTCACCTTACTTTTAAGACAGGGTTTAACTGAACCTGGAGCTTGCCAAGTCAGCTGGACTGGCTGACCACCAACCCAAGGGATCCTCGTGTCTCAGCCTTCCAAGTACTGGGATTACATGCATATCATCACATCTGGCATTTAAAGTTGGTCCTGGGGATCCAAACGTGGGTCTTTTGTGGCAGGTGATTTACCCACTGAGCCATCTCACCAGGCCTGCACTGGATATTTTAAAATCCTCACCAAGCAAAGCTGACAACAGGAGGGTAGAGAACCAGACACTGGCTGCTTGCTTTGGGGTGAGTTATGTAACTGTTCTAACCCTGTTTCCTTATCTTTAAGACAGTGGAGAGCAAATCTTCTATCCCAGAGCTGTTATGAGTTTTAAATTAAAAAAGAAAAAAAATCAATAGAAAACACAGCACAGTAGCTCACATCATACCTAGTGGGTATTCGGTAAAGGTTTATTTTTTTCTCTCCTTTGTTTCTCCCACTGTCCTTAAAGCAATATGTTGAGCTAACTATGTGTGATGGATGGTTGAAGTATGGGACATGAGACCTGAGACATGAGACAGAACCCGGTGCTTTCCAGGAGCAATTGTGCAATAACACCTAGGCAAACACTTCATACGAAAACTACTCCTGGGTGTGTGGGGATCTGGCTAGAGAAATGATCGCTGAGAATAGGGAACCAGATGTGGTTTCCTGAAGAGAAAAACATTAAGAGGACTCTTGGAAGATGATTAGGATGTACCAGAAGAGAAAGAGGCTGTAAGAGGCAGGGGAGGGCGGTGACAAAACAGTATAGCCAAGGCCACATCTATGTGACACTTGTAGGTAGGTTGTATTTAAAGACATGTCCTTTGTGAATATTTATTTCACTGGTATCTTTGCATCTCCTTAATCAAGAAAGTGGTGCTCCCCTTTTTGACTGACATCTGCATGGATAATAATAGTGTGAGTTTTATGCTTGAGAGCAGGTAGGAGGTCTATAATTTGTTTTATCTGCATCTTCCCCCTTTTATTATTTAGGACAATTTGGTATGCATCTAGGTATTTTTAATTGCATTCTTCGGGTAAGGGCAGAGAACCGGCACGCCTCACTAGAAAACCCTCATTAATGAAATGGGCTTTCTGAACACACAGAGCAAAAAGCTGAATAAAGATGACGTCAGCTTCCTTGGAGTGCATTTTCATTCAAGGTTATCATCCAATTCCTGCTGGAGGCTCGTGCAGAGCAGTTGATCTCCTGACCAGCTCTGAATGCCCTCAGACTGGATCTGCTTCGACCTGTCCCTTAAGGGGGGCCTCAACATCACTTGTCTCTTTCTGTATCCTGTTCCCTCCCCTGCAGGGACTGGGCCTCCTCCAGCTCTGTAGGTCCTTGCTGGCACCCTCCCTCCCCCTCCTCTGCTTGATGTGACTTCCATTGACCTAGTTTACAAACGGTTTGATCTTGGCCAAATGCCAAAGAATTGAGGGTGCTACGGTGCCTCTCTTTAGGGCTTCTGGTAGAAGACACCGGGTTCTCCGGGGGGTCCCTGAAGAGGCTGTGTGCATGGTTTTTGTCTTGGCAGTGCTGACACTGTTTTTCGTTTTTTCTCCCCTCACCCATACCCTCAAGAGCCTTGCCGGATTCAATTCATCTTTATGCTCTTGGAGTCCAGGCTATTGATTTGCTAGAACTGGCCATTCAGTCAGAGAAAGGCAGCCAATGAGAGCAGGACTCTGCCCTGTCTCCCTGTGGAAGCCTCTGAAGAAGTCATGAATGTGAAGGAAAGGTTGCAGGCTGAGCTCCCAGTGGCAGTCCTAGAGTGTTCTTTACAGAGCAAAGTGAGGAAGGGAGCGAGCCAAATTCCAGATCAGTCACCCATGGCCAAGCCTGTCCCTGGCTCCCACATGCAGCCTTGGTGAGCCTGGCTTCTGCCCAGCTCATGTGTCTCACTATATCCAGCTTCTAAAACCTACATGGATGTCCACAAGAGTGAGGAAAGGCAGGGTGAGGAGGAGGGCAGAAATATTGAAAATCATGTGACCTTGACACTGTAGGTCATAATCAACCTAGATGACCCCTTTCTCTCTGCCTGCCGGACTACTTACCTTAGAAGGAAGCCAGCTTTGAATCTAGGGAAATATCTGAGCTTGTAAATGGGCTTTTAAGTGACTGTTGCCTGGAGCAGCTGCTCTGAATTTAGAATAGGTACTATTCTCTGCATCCAGCATCCGATTCTTCCCAGGATGAATTATCTGCTTGCACAAGTTCCTTGAGGAGAAGGGGGCCTGTCAGGTTTCTCCCTCGGACACTTGCTGTATGCTAACCCCTGCCTGCTGGATATGTTTGACCTGGGATGAGGGTAGCTCAGTGGTTGAGTATATGCCTTAGCATGTACAAGGCCACCAGTTCAACCCCAGCTCTATAATGATAATAGTAACAGTAGTACTAGTTTGGCCTAGTACCAAATATGAAGGAAAAGGGCAATTATATTTTAACTCATATTTGACTCTAAAAGGGAACATTCACTATTGTCGGAAAGACTCATTTAAAAAAATAGAAACCGAACATCTGACTTACTGCTCAGAGAACATCTCTTCATTCATGTGGATCTTTGAGACTTAATTGACATTTTCTTTATAGGTTTCCAGCCCAGATTTCTTTCTGTTGACAAAGATTCCTGTGAAACCCATCACCGATTTCCAGTCCTATGTTCTGGTCATCTTCATCTCCTGGTCCAAATTGATTGGAATACAATCAATTTGAGGGCCATAGGAAGTTGTCTGAGAGAGGGAGAGACCCGACGGAATGTTGACTATGGCGTGGTCACCCTAAAACATGGTGTGTTTCACATCAAGTCTCAGTTGGTAGCCTTAGTGAATGCTGGCAAAAAAAAAAAATATGCACACAGAAACAAACCATGGTATCCATGAGATCCTGTGTGGGATCACATCCATGGGACATCATCTCCCCGTCATTGGTTACCGCCCTTCTGCTTTCTCGGATAAATTGCATGAGGAAAATGAGAGGAATGAGGAGGAGAGATGGTAGAATTACCTCGTGAGTTCCACACACACAGCAGTTCTTGGCTGTTCTCACAATATGGAACAATCCAGACCTTTGCATCATCTTTGGCAAACAAGAATTTTTTTCAACCCAGAGTCCTGCAGCTTTCTGGCTAGCAGATGTCAGAATGGAGGCAATCCTGGAGCCAACAATTTTTATCATGCAGGATCACTCCCACATGTCTCCCCTGGCAACAGGCTTCGGATTAGAAAGCTGAATGAGGGCCTGAAAGGAGGACTTCTTGGGTAAAGTGCTTGATGAGCAAACATAAGTAGCAGATTTCAGATCCTCAGCATCCACAAACTAGGTGCCTTTTGGTGGAGTACACTGACAGCCCTAGAACTGGGTAGGGCGGAGACAAGGAGATACTGAGAGCTAACTGGCTAGCCAGTCTAGCTGAAATGGCTCTGGGTTGGGTGAGAAACTCTATCTCATAAGGTAGAGAGCAAGAGAAGACAAAATCCAAAAGTGATCCCTGAGCTCCACATGCATGTGCACAGGTGAGCAAACAAGCACGAGCACACATGTACACACACACACACACATTGATGCATGCATGCACATACAACAACAGCTGGATGAAGGCTCTTGTGTCTCAGACCTATGACCACCAACAAAAAGACCCAGATGTCTCTAAGAGAGCAAGAAAGGAGAGGAAAACCAGGCCCAGGATGGGAGTAGCCTTTTGGGTACAGGAGTAACAAGAACAATTGAGAAACCAGCTAGTTTAGTAAAGAAAAAAGAACCAATCATGGATGACAGCTAGGAGGTATGTGTCTGCCAGTATACCAACTGGGCATTAGTCATCACGACAGACAGGGCTCTGTAGGATGTACAACTAGATGGGATAGAAAAGGGACTGTGACTAAGAAAAAATCCATGTTGTTACCTCCAAAGAGCCTTGCGTGTCAATCATCTTCGTGTTGCTATGACAAAGTACCTAGTAAAAATAACTTAAAGGAAGAAAGATTTATTTTGCCTCATGATTTCAGAGGTTTTGGTCCATGGTGGGTAGGATCCATCTTGGGGAACTTGTGGTGAAGCACAACAAGGGGGCAGACGGGTGTGGTAGAACAGCTGCTCACTGCCTGGTGGCCATGAAGAAAGACAGCCAAGAGGCTGGAGGCAATGTATCCTTCCATCACTTCCCCAGTGCCCTACTTCCTTGGCCTAGGCTTCATTTCCTAGTTTCCACTATCTCTCAATCATGCCATCAGTGGACTAATCCATTGGTTAGGCCAGAGCCCTCAGGAGCCAGCGTCTTACCAGAAGCCCTGCCTCTGAACATTGCGTTGAAGATCATGCCTTGACCATATGAGCCTTTGAAGAGAACACCCATATCCATACTATGACACCCGCTGTCTCAATTTTCAAGGCCAAGCACACGCTGTCGGCTTTGTGTGTTTGCTGATATTCGCTAACTTCTGGATGCAGATGAAGCTGTACTGTGTGTCACTCAAAAGAGGTGGGCAGCTCTAATGGAATTTGCCAAAATCAAGAAGGAGGAGAAAGCCATGCCCTTCACAGTAAAGCCAACGCCACTGTCTCCTCTCCCTCCTTTCCCTAGTGGAGGCTTAGATGCTCAATTCCATTCCGAAGAGCTGCTTCCTCTATCGCACCATCACCCCGGAGAATAAGGAACACAAACGAGAGAAGGGCAAAGGAGGGAAAAGATTTGGAGCCCTGCTTGTAAGATCATGTACCCACTCTTTACCTGATGAAAAGGCAACCTCCACCCCACCCCCACTACTACCGCCACACACACACACACACACACACACACACACACACACACACACACACACACACACACCCTTCTGCTTTTCTCCCTGCCTTGGAACTTTCCAAAATGTTGAAGAGAGACGTCAGTGCTGGAGGGTCATTGACAATCTGAGGTGCCAGTTACTCGACTTCCCTGCCGTCCTCCCCCGTCTCTGTTCTTCACATCACCTATTTAAGGAACTGTATTCAAGGCTGGAGAGATGACTCAGTGGATAATGTACTTTCCATGTAAGTGTGAAGATCTGCGTCTGGACCTCCAGCCCCCGCATAAAGAAGCCAGGCATGTAGACAGGAGGAGCCTCCAGCTCACTGGCTAGCCAGCTGAGCCAACTGGTAAGTTCCAGGTTGAGGGACAGAAGAAGACATTTGGGTAGCCATCTTTGGCCTCCACGTGCATGTACCTGCTCGTGTAGAGGTGACAACCCCACACCAAAAAAAGGAAAGAATCAGCTCTCACCACAAGACAAACATGGAATGGCCACTATTATCAGCAGGGACTGTAGCAATTAGACAAGTGCAGGTCCCAAAATGGATCACCTTGCCAACCCTCATGGCAGGCTTCCATTCCAACAAAACCCCACGATAAGGGAGAAAATGACCCTAATTTAATATCTGCAGCATAATCTCATGAACGCTTCCCAAAGCAATAGAAGAAGTATGCTGGGATTCAGTTTTGATTTGTGGCCTTCCATAGAAGGAAGCTCATTAGTACAGAAAGCATAATGTTGTCAACTCTTACAGAGATGTACAGCAATAATACCTCCTGATGCCTACTCCGCAGGGCTGTGAATCAGCCAAGACAGGAAGCTATAAGCAGTGTGTATGGGTGGGGAAGCATGTCCACACTGGGAGGGCTCATTTACAGGAAGAGCCAGGGAATGGAGGTCAAATTTCAACTAATGCTCAGTAGTGAGCGAGTTCATGTTCACAGTCCACAGAGCCCTGGTTTAGCAAAGACTCAAGTTTTTTGGTGGCTCGGAGTAGCACAGATCTATACTGAGCTCATTATTAGAGGAGGAGTATCCATTCCTTGAAGAGAAGAGAAAGTATCTCACACTTGGTCACCAGATACTTGAGCTGCATGCTGTGTGCCTGTAGCTTTCTATTGGCCTCTGCCAGCACCCTGCATTAATATGAAATTAACAGCATAATGCTCACACGGAACTTCGTGTCTAAAAAAAACATGCCCACATTATGCTTTAAGCCTTTTATCCCCCAATAATAGAAGTCATGAGGTTAAAGTTTGCTCGAACAATTTTCCCCGGAACAGCTGTACAATTTGATGTGGGGGATGAAAGTAGATACTGTATGGATCTTTGTCATTGGAAAACGCTGTGAAAGAACTAGTAGTTAAGCTGCCCTCCCCAGTCGCACCCAGTCACGTGTGGATAGTTTCCTACTTGCACACATCCCAGAGAAATGCTCCTGGTATTTATATTCATTGTTATTACTACTTGCAGTGTATCAGGAGAGTGACTCATCCCATGGAAAGGCTCAAGGAGAACCAAGGAGGAAGGCAGAGGAGCAAGCTCCATTTAATAAACTCCTGAAGAGCACTTACTATGTCTGGCATCATAAGGCCAGAGTCTCCAAAGAGTTTGCTATCCTGTGGACAGTATCAAGCAGATACAGAAATATATGTAAATTATGGCATGTGGCATAAGTGTCTTAGAAAACATGGTTAGAGTGTGGTACAGTGAGTGGATCAGGATTTAGAAGTTTCCTGGAGGGAATGGGGCATTGGAGACAGATGTTAGCCAGGCTTAGGATGACTGGCCCAGATCCCAGCTTTGGTCTCTCTGGAACAATCAGTACTCCCCTACCATGATTTGACTATATCTTTCAGAAGTCCTGTGTTGGGAGCTTGGAAATCAGGTAGTGCTAAGAGGCGCAGGTACCTTTAAGAGAAAGAAGAACCACCCTGGGGCTCAACTATACTACTCCCGAGTGCAGTCCCAAGGACTGAATATGCTACCACAGGGACACCATGTTCATTTTTGCTCTACACAAAGCAGCTAAGCAATGGGATCAGCCTCGATGTCTACCTTCAGAGGCACAGATAGGGAATTGTATTCAGCCATAAAGAAAAAAACGAGTCCATGACATATGGAAGGGAATGGATGAAAATGGAAATATTTATGTCAAACCAAATAAGCAACATGTTTTCTTTCATTTGTGGCCCCCAGATTTTCATTTTTGTATGTCATCAGAGAAAATTTAAAGAGCTTAAGCTTGGGATGTAGAGCTGGCTCAGTGTTTGAGAGTGCTTGCTGCTTTTGCAAAAGACCTGAGCTGAATTCCCAAGAGCCACCTGTAACTCCAGTTCCAAAGGAGCCAATGCCAGAAGTGAGCAAGCATGTGCATGCATGAATGCCCACGTGCATACACATGCAGGCAGGTATAATTTTTAAAAATCGTGTGTGCGTGTGTGTGTGTGTGTGTGTGTGTGTGTGTATGTATGTGTGTATGTGTGTGTTTATGTGTGTGTATATGTGTGTGAGTGTGTGTGTGTATGTGTGTGTATATATGTGTATATGTGTGTATGTGTATGTATGTATGTATGTGTGTGTGTGTG